GGACCGTACATTATTTCTACACTGGGCTGCATGAGAGTGGCATAATGCTTTCCTGGACGAGACGTAAGGGTAATATTGATATTTATAATAATACAGGAGCATCTTCTAGAGTTGCAGTTTTGGAACATGTATGTGCGTAGCCACAGATTCAAGCATTGCCGAATCGGGTAATGCTAGTTACAACTACAATTATTGCTTGCTTCGTGTGCTGTGTGTGTGTGTGTGTGTGTCCAGTACGACTGTTTCATTTGTTATCTCAGTGTCACATTAATGTGCAATAATCGAAGGTGTTTTAAGTTTCTTACTGACCTGTTCTATGTTATATTATACGAGTAATGTGTGTTTGCAGACTCAACCTTACACTTAATTCTATAATTATATATTGTAATTACATATATATCTCTCTTTAGGTTTAATTGATAATGTTAAACAAACAATTTATTGGAAAGGTAAATTATCTATCTTACTGTGTAGTCGCCGTATGTATAGGTGCATATGTAGCCTGTCAGATCAAAACATGCCGTAGGACTCAATCAGAAAGACCATTCAATTCTGGTTATTTTGACACCAAGATCTTCTTCCTAGGTCACATGGTTCGGAAGTTATGAGCATTTGAGTAGTTGGAATCGGGCCGATTTTTGAAAACAAAGTTCAGAGTAATTAGGTTATAAAGTTTGTTTTCATTTGGAAACTTTTATGAAAATTTTTGGAAATCCGCACTTTTTGGACACGCAAATAAACACATAAAGACACACTTTTGGCCAGTTTTATTGATGTAACATCGAACATGGATAACTACTAAAGGTATTTATGACAAAAAAAATCGGCTTTTTACTACTTTTAGGTGAAAAATCAGAATAAACATTGAAGTCCTACGGCATGTTTCGATCTGACAGGCTACATATATTTACCGCAATTACTCGTGTTTTATATCTGTTCATCCATTAGTTCTGCCTGGTTCATCGTCGTACACGCGACTGCGGCTACTGAGTGTCATTCTGACTTCTCGCGAACTCCGAAATAAATTGTGTGAAATTACTTGTAATTTTCACTTTTCTTGAGAGGTTATATTATATTATTGTTTGTGAATTTTCCATGTGTTGTTGACAGGCGTTTACGGGACATAAATCGAAATAACGGATCTTCCATAAATTAAATGAATATTCTTCAAGTTCTTTATCTATAGTTAAAAACGCTTATTATATTCTTAATATTTTTTATACACGTATAGTAGATTACGGGCGCAAAATGGTTTCAGTATAAAATCAAACGACAAAATTCACCAGACTATACCTTGGAACGTTTTGATACGTAGATGTTGCATTCGTTCTTTTTTCCTTCCCCATTCCTTACCCTCGCTCCTCCTTTCTTCTTTCACACTCTCACTAACTATTGCTATCTCTCTCTCTCTCTCTCTCTCTCTCTCTCTCTCTCTCTCTCTCTTCTCCTCTCTCCCTCCCTCCCTCCCTGCTCTTTCTCTCCTTCCACAGTACGGTAGATTCAACTCTCGCTGTTATCACCAACTCACGATTCGCTATTCACACACATACGCACACACCCACCCACACACGACACAACCACACAGCACAACACACACACACACACACACACACACACACACACACACACGCACACGCACACTACACACATACATTCACACACACACAACATGCTCACAACATCACACCACACACAACCCCTACCATCTTCTGCTCTCGCTCTCTCTCTCTCCTCTCTCTCTCTTCTCTCTCTCCTCCTCTCTCTCTCTCTCTCTCTCTCTCTCTCTCTCTCTCTCTCTCTCTCTCTCGGCTCTCGTCTCTCTGTCCTCCTTCCTTTTAAGGCTCTTTTTCAATCTGCTTGTCCATCGAAAAAAGTTTTCGCCGCGGTGGGAATGCCTGCGACTTCGCGTTCGTGCCGTTCTCGGCGGTAAGGCGGTGTGGAGCGCCAACGGGTCCAGGACGAGGCTTGTAGGAGTTTTGTCATCAGAGTTGAAGTAGGCGG